CTAACTTGTCCATGTTCAGAAGACTTTGTCTCACTTTAATTTCCTTCCAGGCATTTCACTGCTTGGCTCAACACACATTAAGAACTGAGCCCCTGAGATTTCATGCTTGTTAAGCTGGTCGTGCTAAAAAGGAAAGTTGCTTAGAAATTTTAAATTACCCATTACATAGAGCCAAATCCCATAGCCATGCCCGTCAGGAAAGGTGGGGGCCAAGCCCTCCAACAGTGCTTGTAGAATGAATGACTGCCCACGATCCTCCCTGGGACTGGAATCGTGCTGTCACCATAATAGAGAGCCTGGAAATCCTTTTGTTAAACGAAGTATCTCATTGTAATGACATCTGCATTTTGGAGGTGTCTTTATCAGGGGTCAGTTAGCTAGAGGTGAATGAAATCTCATCGGCCCAGTTTGAGCAGTAAAATGGGGTGCTATTTCAGAAGCTCCTGGACCCCCAAAGGCAGGAATCATCACATGAAGGAGGAACCAGAAAGCTAGTAGGCACCGAGGAAGCTTCTCCCTGACCCTCCAGGGCTGCTGGGCCCTGCCTCTGCTTCTTTGCAGGTCCACTCTTCCTCACCCCTCCTCTGTGCACATGGCAGGAAATGGCTTCGCAGTCCAAAAGTGACAATTTCCCAGCTCTAGCTCCAGAATGCAATTCCAGAGTCTCAGGGCAGAAGCTGATTGGCTGGCATGGGTCAGGTGTCCACTCCTAGTCCAATCAGCTATGGCTAATGGGCTGTTCACCTCGAATAAACGTGGTTCTGTTGCATCTCACTACATGCTTTTTCACTTCCCATTTTAATAGCAATTAATGCCTACCTTACAGTGGTGCCAGTGATTTTTAAAAACTGAAGTTCAGAATTTTGCAGTTCATATTAATCTCCACCAAAGAGTAGTTTTGAACCTTTAATCCCATCATCTCATACTGGTCCCTCCCAGACCATGCGGACTGCATATTAAAGCAGTAGCTTTCTGTTATCAGTTCAGATTTGTTGGCAGGAATGTTGACAGACGGGACAAAGCACCAATCCCAGCAGTTGCCCAACTCCCAAAGTCTAATGAGTCATGTGTGACAGAGGGAAACGTGGGCCCCAGCCTGCTGTTTCATCTGAGAGGTCCAAGACAAAGTCTATACCTCTCTGCTTTTAAAACCCAGGGCGTATGTACATCTTGGGGAGAATAGGTTAGAAGGCAGATGCAGGATGAAAGCCAAGTCCTGCCTTTCTTTTTTTTTTTTTTTTGCGGTACGCGGGCCTCTCACTGTTGTGGCCTCTCCCGTTGCGGAGCACAGGCTCCGGACGCGCAGGCTCAGCCGCCACGGCTCACGGGCCCAGCCGCTCCGCGGCATGTGGGATCCTCCCGGACCGGGGCACGAACCCGCGTCCCCTGCATCGGCAGGCGGACTCCCAACCACTGCGCCACCAGGGAAGCCCTAGTCCTGCCTTTCTTGCGCACCCCGGCAAGAAAGGCAGGCTGAGTCCCTGACGTGTGACCTTTGGTGCTTTCTCCTCGGTTGCCCTTGCAGACCAACCCAGCCCATTCATTTCAGCCAGTGGAAATCAAATCACAGTAAACTGAGGTCGTGACGATCCATATGGGAAGTTCCTTCTGCCAGATGTTAAGACTCATGCCTGGAAGAAAGGATGGAAGGAATTCCTGGGGTCTTGTTAATGACAGCTGAGAAGGAGGGGAGAGGACAGGAGGTGCAGGAGAACTGACAGGTGGAGGGGGAGTCCCTCGGCGTCCAGCCCTGAGCACAGTGGGTACGTGATGGTGGCGCCAACCACCCGTCCCTTTACTGGTACACATTTATTGAGCACTTCCAGGCACCAGGTTCTGTGCCAGGCCCTGGGATGCAGCAGGGAACGGGGCAGAAAAGGCCTCTCCAAGAAGGAGGGTGTCAAGAAGAGCCAGCGAAGTGGGGCTCTGGGAGAAGAGCGTTCTGGCAGAGGGCACAGCAAGGGCAAGGAGAGACCTGTGTCCATGGAATGAAAGGCTGGCGTGGCTGGAGTGGGATGCTCGTGGAGAGAAGGGTATGAGGCTAGGCTGGAGAAGTCAGCCGGGAGTTGGGGGTCCACACTCAGGGCCCTAGGGGCACGGTGAGGAGTTAGATTTTCTTTATTCTCAATGTAGTAGAGATAATGCCAATTAGAGGGGTTGGTGACAAACTCCATTTTAGGTACCCAGAGTTTGAAGTGACAGAGTGGACATGTCTGGACCAAGGGGGTCTTTGGAACTGGAAGATGGTAACCCAGGAAGAGAGGCCAGAAGTTGGCTGGTGTCAACGAGCAGGGCCTGCATGGGAGCCAGGAGCTGGATGAGGGCAGTGTTGGGAGGGGACGGCATGGAGCTGAGGGGTTTGGGCACAACCAGACTTAGAGTGCAGGGAGGAGTGGAGGGTGCCATGACACAGAGAGAGGAGCCATCGGCCGGGGACGTGGAGAACCAGGAAGGGGTGATGTCTCCTAAGCTGGTGGAGGCGGGGACTGCTGAGCGGAGGAGCTTTGCCGGGGATGTCAAGCAGGGAAGGAGATCTGGGGAAAGGCGGTGTGCTTGGAGTCATAAGTCACTTCAGTGGAGGGTTATGGGAGTTATAGGACTCTTATGGATGCCGGGAACAGAAAACCGCAAAGTGATTGACTTCAGGTGCAGCTGGGTCCAGGGGCTCAAATGACTGTCATCAGGACTCTCCATCTCTCAGCTCACGTTCCCCAGGTTGGCTTCATTCTCAGCCAGGCTCCCCCCACACAGTGTAGCAAAGGGCCTCCAACAACTCCACCCCTCCATCCTACCAGCTCAGCAGTGCCAATTTAAAGAGAGCCCCTCTCTCTCCCCATAGTCCCTTTCATGAGCCCAGCTTGGAAGGATGCTGTCAGTGTTTTGCCTAATCTGCACGGACTGAAGGTGGGGAAAATCAGAATTTTGTTCCTAGAAGATGGAGAAGTGGAGTCTGGGTGGGCAAAACAACAACTCTGCACACAGGAGCCAAGTTTCAGGGGGTCAAGAGAGGGTGATGGTGGTGAGAGAGGGCAGTGGTGATGAGGATGCCGTGTCTTCGGTGAAAAGAGGGAGAAAATAGGACGGTGGTGGGAGGGAGCCCCAAGATCAGATCAGTTTCCTTTTTCTTTCAGGTAGGAGAGATTTATGCATGTCTGCACACAGAGAGAGGGGAAGATGCCAGTGGGGAAGGAGTGATTGAAGATTCTGGAGAGAGGAGATAATTGATGGGGCCAGGCCCCCGAGGAGACAGGCAGAAAATGGAGTGCAGGGCGCAGCACGATGTGAACGAAGGAAAAACAGAATGTCAGTGTCATCAGCTGCTGTTTTTCCAGAATGACACCCTTAGATGGCAGTTAGCCATGGCGTGGCCTTGAGGACTGGCCGCTGCTTAGATGCACACGCCAGGGCTTTAACATTCTACAAGCAGGAGAGCAGGGCCCTCAGAGCCATGCCTCTGAGGGCCAGGCCCGTGTTCTCCGCATGCCCCAGACGCAGCTTCGGCTCTTGGAGCCAGTTTAAGCACAAGTAGATGTAAATTCCTTACCTTGTAATATACCTGGGTTGTTTGGTTTTTTAATAGAATTTGTCCCTGATTATAAAAATTACACGTAGGGAACTTAGAAGATAAGGTGTCAAAGAAGAAAGTACAAGTCTTTCCTACTCACCACGCAGAAACGAGGATATTAACACGTCGGGACATGCTGCCCACACTAGGAGAGGCCGCATCTAAAATGGCCTATCTGGCTCTTTCTTTTTTTTTTTTTTTTTTTTTTGGCGGTACACGGGCCTCTCCCTGTTGCGGCCTCTCCAGTTGTGGAGCACAGGCTCCGGACGGGCAGGCTCAGCGGCCATGGCTCACGGGCCTAGCCGCTCCGCGGCATGTGGGATCTTCCAGGACCGGGGCACGACCCCATGTCCCCTGCATCAGCAGGCGGGCTCTCAACCACTGCGCCCCCCGGGGAGGCCCCCGGCTCTTTTTTTTTTTTTTTGGCGGTACACGGGCCTCTCCCTGTTGCGGCCTCTCCAGTTGTGGAGCACAGGCTCCGGACGGGCAGGCTCAGCGGCCATGGCTCACGGGCCTAGCCGCTCCGCGGCATGTGGGATCTTCCAGGACCGGGGCACGACCCCATGTCCCCTGCATCAGCAGGCGGGCTCTCAACCACTGCGCCCCCCGGGGAGGCCCCCGGCTCTTTTTTTTTTTTTTTGGCGGTACACGGGCCTCTCCCTGTTGCGGCCTCTCCAGTTGTGGAGCACAGGCTCCGGACGGGCAGGCTCAGCGGCCATGGCTCACGGGCCTAGCCGCTCCGCGGCATGTGGGATCTTCCAGGACCGGGGCACGAACCCATGTCCCCTGCATCAGCAGGCGGACTCTCAACCACTGCGCCACCAGGGGAGCCCCCTGGCTCTTTTTTTTTTCCATGTAACATTCTTTCACAAGCCTTCCGCCTGCTATTAGGCAGTCTTTGAAACACCCCATTAGAGTCACGTGGCTGTGACAGCCTTCAGAACAGACCCTGGGGTTGCTGACTCAGACTCCGCAGGCAGCAGCATCGCCCTGGGTTGTGTGAGTTTCTGAAAAGGTTCTCACACAAGCAGAGAGTGTTCCCTTGATTTGCATGGTAGTCGCATTCTTAGAAAATTCAAAGTACACCGAGAAACACTGTGCTCTTTGTAAAACAACTAGGTTCCAGACTCGGGTGACCATAAACAATTTTTTTACCGACCTGAATGGTGCCTGAGACAGGAGAGCATACTCTGTGCCTGGAACCATCCCCGGCAGTGAGGGACAGTCGCATCCCTGGTCCCACCCTTCAAGTGCCAGCAGGGCCAATAGGCACTGAGACAGCCAAGAGCATCGAACCACCCACTGGTTTCTAGAATTTCCCCCTGAGGGTGACCCCCACCCAGCTGGGAGCCACTGGGTGAAACGATCTCTAAGGGTCCCCACTTCCACACACACCACTAATGGGGCTTCGCCTCTCCTGTGTCCTTCCTTCCAGAAGATGCCTGGTCCACCCGGACGCCACTGCGGCCCCAGTGGCCCAGCAAGCAGGAACACACCTTACGTGAATCGTGGGACTCCCTCACTGTCTTTGACCACTCCCACCGGGGACGCATCTCCAACGTGGAGTTCCAAGGCGACATCCTGGATGAGTTCCTGCAGCAGCAGAAGAGCAGCCGGCACAGCGACCAGCCGCACCCCTGGAAGGAGAAGCCGGAGCCCATGAAAGGACAGGACCACGGCTCCCTAGAGATAGATGACGGGGGTGACTTTAAAATCCCCGTCTTACCTTATGGACAGCACTTGGTCATCGACATCAAGTCCACGTGGGGGGACAGGCACTACGTTGGCCTTAACGGGATAGAAATATTCAGTTCCAAGGGAGAGCCGGTGCAAATTGTGAACATTCAAGCCGACCCCCCAGACATCAATATCTTACCGGCCTATGGGAAAGACCCCCGTGTGGTCACCAACCTTATCGACGGGGTGAATAGGACCCAGGACGACATGCATGTGTGGCTGGCCCCCTTCACGCTGGGCAAGTCCCACTCCATCTCCATCGACTTCGTGCAGCCTTGCCAAGTCGCCCTGATCAGGATCTGGAATTACAATAAATCGCGGATACACTCCTTCCGGGGTGTGAAGGACATCACGATGCTGTTAGATACACAGTGCATCTTTAAGGGAGAAATCGCCAAGGCCTCAGGCACCCTGACAGGAGGTACGGTATGTCTGTAAGAATGCTCTCGAAGCCCCTACCTGCTACTCGCTGAGGCTCTGAGGAAAAACGAAACTTAGTGGCTAGCCAGTGACAGATAGGTCTGTCTCCTTTCCAAGAGCTGGCCCGCTCCTCGCCTTTTGCTGCTGGGTGTGAAAGAGCTGACCTCATTGAAACGCCTCCCCTGGGTACCAGCCTTAGCCTCCTAGGGCCTGAGCCTGATGAGTGCAAGTGAGTTATGGAGGGAGTGCTCTCAGGAGACCCTGTAGGGCAGGGAGGGGTGTAGGATATGGAAGGGTCGGGGGGCGGGGTGGGGGGAGAAGCTAGGCAAGGATATCATTTCAGGGGAAGCCCAGCCTCAGCCTGATCCCAAGGGGAGCTCTGGAGTGTAAATTGCAGGGTCTGTCCTGCCTTAAGGCAAAGCAGCAGGGCTTTGGAACCCTCAGACTCCCCTGGTTGGGACGTAACTCCCACACCCTTCCAGGAAGGCCCCCTATAAGGATGGCAGAGGATCTGGATGGGGCAGCAACAACAACAGCTACCGTGCCTCACCCGCGCCTGAGAAACATCCCTTAGTTCACGACAGACCACAGTGATTCTCATCAGATTAGGTGCCTTCATTAAATCTATGTGGTTCTTATGGTCCGTGAATTCCATTTGCAAATGCGTAAAGAAGAATAAGGCTCAGTTACACAAATCAAGACCTGTTAGTGGTTTGGGACTTTCCAGCCCAAAGATTGATGGGTTTAGGTTACTGGTCTGCACATCACTGGGACGTGGGGTGAGCTGACTCTTCTGTCTTCCTGGTACCCCTGTTAGCTCCAGAGCACTTTGGAGACACGATCTTATTCACAACCGATGATGACATTCTTGAGGCCATCTTCTGTTCTGATGAGACGTTTGACTTGGACGTGGAGAGCCTGTGCAGCCTGCGGTGCGAGGAGGCGCTGAGGAGGCCCAGCACGGCCGACGGCCTGGGAGAGGAGAGGCCCGACACCCAGGCTGGCTCCTGGGCTGATGACCAGGTAGGACTGGAGGCGGGTGGGCACCCCACAGAGACTTCTCCTGACTCAGAGTATACCAGGAGGAATGAAGATGGATCTCCTTAAGCTGCTGGTACCCCCGTTTTGACATTTCCCATTTTTCTGCTTCATTTTTGTTCTGTAGGTCATATTTCATTCTCTAATTATTTTTTATTTTTTTGTAAACCAAAGTGAAGGAAGTATTCAAATTTTAATCAAAGCTAGGGGAAATCGGTTCTGTGTCATTTCTGTAATTTAGAGGTTGGCAGTCTCGGGAATTTTTGCTTTGGGTTGCATTTTGATCACTCACTGTTGTTTTTGATGGAAGGGCTAGAAATGCTTTCAATAGGCGGACTTGAGAATTAAAAGAATGATGATCCTGGCAATCACTTCTTGGGCACATACCGTGATCCAGTTGTGGAGCACCTTGTTATCGTGCTTAACCCTCGTGACAGCCCTTGGAGTAGAGATGATTAATATCCCCGTTTAGGAAACCAAGGCTCAGACAGGCTAAGGGCCTTGCCCAAGGGCACATCTTGGGTGAATAACAAGGCTAGAACTTGAATGCAAGACTCCAAAGTCTGTGCTTTTAATGGACAAATTATCAAAAATGAAAGATGACCTTCAGGGCAAGGGTCAGCCCAAGTCAAAGACGAGAAATCAAGGTGAAGAGACACCAGGGTCTCCGGGGATGTTCTTGAGGCCATAGGAGAAAGAGGAGACGGTTAAAGAGGGTGGGGGGGAAGAGTGGAAAGAACCAGGAACCACGGACAAAAGGTTCGGACACAAGAAGGTCATGACCAAGGCGGTACAGTGACATGCCCCTGCCCCGCCCACTCAGACAGGCTAGCTCGTTGTTGATGGTTGTCTCGATTTTTTCAAAGAAAGCCAGAAATCTGGATTGTTACGTAAAAATCTCCCCATTAAGAAATGTTGGCAACTAATCCATGGTGTTTTCAACCCTTCTGCAGGCCACAAAGCATGTCCGTGGTCTGGCTTTGCCGCGCAGGCCTCCAGCTGGGAGATGGCCTCGAGGCCTTTCATTCCCCCAACATTTTCCAAATGGCAAAGTCCCTGCTCAGGAGCTCTGATTAGGATCTAGGCCTGGGAGGGGCAGGGAGGGATCACTCTCTCTGCCTTAGAGATAGGTCCTCAAGCTCAGGGAGGCCCCGTCAGTGTCACACCCCTAGCAGGTGTCTGGGCTGGAGCCGCCCCACGCCCGCCTAGGTGTCCCGGGTCGGGTGCATCCACCAGGGAGCGTGGCAGGAGGTTCAGGGAGGGCAGGGCGCCAGGGAAGGCAGGAGGAGGCACGTGGGTTCCAGGGCAGCAGCTTTCCAGGAGGCCACTCAGCGTCAGGGGTTAACTTCTGGCAGACAACCTCCCTCTCCATCCTCCCCATAGCCAGGCAGGGGCGTGGAGGGGCTGTCCCTAGGGGCTGGACTGAGGGGTCATCAGGGTGTCACTGGCTACCGAAACATCGTCCCCACTAAACACTCTAAGATCCAGACAAGCGACTTCACCTCATTTTGTGTCTCAGCCTTCCTGTCAGGCACTCCTACCCTGACTCGCGGCGCAGGGATCTAATGAAGAGAGTTTACAGAGAGACCCAAGAAGCGGGCTGTGGCAGCCCACCGTGTCTGTAGACCAAGGCTTCTTTATCTGCCTGTCCGTGGGAATCACAGAGGAGGTTTGAAAAATGGAGATGCACAGGCCCCAGGGTTGAGAACCACTCTCCACGTTTGAATTCTTTCTTCTCCCTCCCTCCCTCCCTCCCTCCCCATCTCTCTCCCTCCCCGCTTCCTAGCTAGGGCCCTTCCCTGTTCCAGAAAATCTAATCACCTGAGCTGGTTAGTGTCAAACTCGTCCCCTACCAGTAAGAACTTCCGGCAAGGACTCAGATGCACTCAGGGTTTCTGGGCCCGCCGTATTACCAGTCATGGAGCTCCCACCAGGGCAGAAAACACCAGAAAAGACACCAGGACTTACCTGGGGCACAGAGTGGGCATCTAGCTGGGAAGATGTCCAGTGAGCTGCGTGGGTATCACTAAAATCACCCCCTTTCCCTCTGCTTCTCTCCAACCTGTGTGCAGACCCCTGAACCAGAGCTGCCCCCCAGCCCCCCTGTCCCTGAAGTCACCACGCCAGAGCCGGGCATCTACCAGGGCATCTGTGAGTACCTTCTCTGGGGGCAGTGTCAAGGGAAGGAGGACCTTCACGGGTTGGGGGTGGGGAGGGAGTCATGGCCACTTGGGACGGGGTTTCCCGGGACAGTTGGGCAGGTTGTACCTTGGCAAAGAGACACCAGGCCCCAGGATAAGTCAGGGCTGAAACCAGCCTGCATTGGTGACACTGGCCTGGGCAGGGCTGCATCCCTTCAGAAGAGGGGTCCTCCTGGCAGTGTGCCCTCCCAGAGGGGCATTTCTGCATTGCACATGCAGATGTCTTACGTGTTAGCTGCAGCCCTGACCCAGGAGGCGGCAGTCAGAGCCCAGAAGTTATAGAGCAAGAAGACGTAAGAGCCAGAGAGACTTGGGCATCTGTCAGTCAGGGGTTTGAGCTGCCCCTTCAAACTGGACCACAGAGCAGGTGATGGAGCAGAGAAAGTCTGTATCCTCCTGGCTCTAGGTGGGGTGGGGCAGCAGGAGTACCGGCGCAGGTGCCAGGTCTTCTGAGAGGTCAGAAATCTGGATTTTTACATGAGATCTCCAGATTTTTCAATGTTGGTGACTCATTTTACAGGAGTTTAAAACACCCTATGAGCCAAACAAAACACGTGTGTTCGGCCAGCCGGCTGCTGGCTGGTGGCCTCTGAGCAGATCCCGTCTGGGTCTCGCTGTGTCTGTTCTTCTGTCTCCTCTGCCTGTGCCGTTCCCGCCAGTTCCTCTCTTACTCCGCATACTTCCCACCAGCACCTCCGCCTGCATCCCAGGGAATCCTCAGGCCCAGCGTTGCGCTGTGATCTCTCCCACCGGTTCCCTGTTCACAAGGCTCTGGGGGCTTGCTCGCTGCGGCCTCCCCTCCTGCTCTTTCTTTTTTTTTAAATTTTTAAATTTTTTTATTTTTGGCTGCGTTGGGTCTTCTTTGCTGCACGCGGGCTTTCCTCTAGTTGTGACGAGCGGGGGCTACTCTTCGTTGCGGTGCGCAGGCTTCTCACTGCTGTGGCTTCTCTTGTTGCGGAGCACGGGCTCTAGGCACGCAGGCTCAGTAGTTGTGGCACGCGGGCTCAGTAGTTGTGGCTCGCGGGCTCTAGAGCGCAGGCTCAGTAGTTGTGGCGCTCGGGCTTAGCTGCTCCGCGGCATGTGGGGTCTTCCCAGACCAGGGCGCAAACCCGTGTCCCCTGCACTGGCGGATTCTTAACCACTGCGCCACCAGGGAAGTCCCCCTCCTGCTCTTTCTTGCCCCCTCGTGCCTGTCATCTGCCTCCAGTTATCTTCTGAAAAGAAGAGACACGCCATTGTCACGCCCCCTCCCCACCTCCCCACCATCATCTCCAGAACGAAGCCGAAGCCAGAATGTGTCAGAGTTTAGCCTCCTCCCCGCCCCCACCTCCCCCTGCAGGCTTCTGTTCCCTGCTCTCCATCCCTGCACATTGAAAGGAAGTCGACTGTCGATTGGGTTCCCAAGAAGCAGCCTCTGAGATGGAGTTTACTGGGGCATGCTTTTGGGGGAGGGCAGGAAGCAGGGCTGGTCAGAGGGAGAACTGGGCCGTGGGGCAGTCACACCAAGGACTCTGCCAGCTCCACAGGGAGCTGCAAAGTCCCCTGGAAGTTGTCCCTGAGTTGAGTAAGGGGGCTGGGCCTTTACACGCCTGTGTTAACATGTCACTGGATATGGGCTGGTGAGGGGCAAAGCCAGGGTTAGTCACAAGTGGGGGGACTCAGCTGTGGGCTGTCAGCTGTCAGCACTCCCAGCCACTGGTGGGATGAGCCCTTCAGCCCTGGGGATGGGAGGTGGGATCTGGGTGGTGCCCCACACTGTCCTCCACTCCGCCTTCCTAAGGCCTTGCTGTAATCCCATCCCATCCCCAGAAGCCTTCCCCACGGTGCCCACTGAGAATTCAGCTCTCCCTCCCTCACTCCACAAGGACAAATTACCTCTTAGAAAAGACGAAGTCTTCCTTTGAATCCTCACAGCCCCTTACTTTCCAGAACTCTCTCTCTATTACTTTGGGACTTTGGGACAACCGAGTAATTTAAAAGCCAACCTAATGTAGTCAAGAGCCTGGTTTGAGGCTTGGTTGCGTATCCCATTCAGGCACTGTGCTGGGGCTTTCCCTCCCTTATCTCACTCACAGCTCTTATTCTCCCCATTTTTCAGATTAGATTAGGAAACTGAGGCTTCGAGAAATTGAGAAAGCCACCCAAAGTCACACAGCTAGTACAAGGCCAAGAACGGGACCAAACATATCTGAATTCAAAGCCCAGGTCCTCACCACTCAACACATTCCCTGAGAGACTGCCTCACCCCAGAGGTCTTTGGGAAGAGTCGGCACCCCCACAGAGCTGTAAGGTCCTGGAAGACAGCAGTCATTTCTTGCTCAGTCTGGACTCCCCTAGGTTGGTCAGGATCCTGAGGGGCGGGGTCTGGGGGGAACAATGGAACTTGAATTCCAATTGAGTTAAGCAAAAAAGAGCATTTCTTAGCTTATGCAACTAAAAAGATCAGGCGTTGCCAGTTTCCCCGTACTGCTGGATCCAGGTGTGCAAATGACGTCATCAAGCCTTGGCATCTCCCTGCATCTCTCTGCCCTGTTTCTCACTCTCTTGTCCGTCTCCCATTCAGACTCTGTCCACATGGGAGCCCCTAGAAGCTGTACCCGGTAATCCCAGGTAAAAGAACTTCTGCTTCCCAATTAAGTCCAACAGTTGTCCCAGAATTGTCTCCTCACCTGGCTTGGGTCACGTGCCCATCCTTAACTAATAATCACCGTGGCTCACCTTGGCGGGCAGGGAGCGGAGTGTGATGGAAAACACGGATTGGCCCGGCCTGGGTCAGAAGCCCATCTTTGGAGCCAAGGGTGAGGAGTCAGCCTCCCATACAGTGTTTCAGAGGAGGTTAGAGGAAGGAAGGAAGGAAGGAAGGAAGGAAGGAAGGAAGGGAGGGAGGAAGGAAGGAAGGAAGGACGGAAGGAAGGAAGGAAGGAAGTCAGGGAGGAGCCACTGTCCTCTTCATCTGATGATTTCCCCAAAGATGCTGTATGTAAATGTCTGTCCCACTGAACCGGCTTCTGACCTTTCTCGGAAATGTTATTTCAGTGCCTTTGGGAGTTTTGCCCTGGAGTAGTGCTCCCAGACCTTTTTGCTGCAAGGAAAGTGTAATTTCTCTGCGTCTCTACTCAGCAGGA